TGCATCTAAAAACAGAGAAGAAGTTACAAAAAGGATAACGTGGCAAAGGAAAAGTGGTCAAAAATGGGAAGAAAAGACTGCGTTAGGAGAAGATAGATCGCGAAATATAGAAGGAAACATATTTATCCACGTGAAGTTATTCAATTCAATTCAAAAATCATTTATTCAGTTTAGGCTTTTACAAGCACATGTGAAAGTGAAAAAGTACACCATTGGTTGGCAAAACTACGGCGGAAGACCGTGTACTGAGAAGAACCGGCAAAAAAATCAGCAAGGGCTGCCCTTTTTCGCTCTGTTTTATTTCATACAGTATCGTCAAATTGAAAGTTGACATCAAACTTGCAAACATGTATTGAGGTCAATTTCCATCACATAATGTCAAATAGGTAACAATAGACAATCAACGAATTTACTAACAATAAGTGTAAATAAAAGTCCCAGAATAGCAAGAAACAATCTTCATAATAAATTGAACAAGTATATGAAAGGGAGTAAGTGCAAGGTTCTGTTCAAAACTCTTTTTAATGCCCACAGTTTTAATATAATTTTAATTCAAAAGACCATTATGCACTTGGGTAATTTGATGCTCATTGTTTCTTATTTTCCTGTAGCTGTTGAATAGGTACTTATTTCATAAGACGGGACTCACCTACCTATATCTTTTAAGGTAATACTGCTATACGTATGGAAGGAAAAATCTTAATAGGTACTGACCGCGGATTTGGGAAGTACCTAATGTTTTTTATAAAAAAGATTATAAAGAAAAGTCTAGATATGTCTTTAGTTATTTTATCCGGTTCCATCTTGTGTTAAAGCTGACCTACTTTAGCTCGATTAATTAAGGCCATGAAAATAAGAAGATTCTGAATTTGATTCCTATAACATCATATTCATCATTGGTCTATTAATGTCCCCACTGCTGGGTCTTCCCTATGGATGGAATAGGAAGATTGGACCATGACCCATTGATCCGTTTTTACCAGTGTTCTTTCCTTTTAAACAAGTGTGCCAAATATCGTAAGTGTATATTATGTATGTAACTTTAACTTCTTTCTTGCTTTGAACAAATTCAAAAATATATACCATTATTAAAATTGGATGCATTTGCACATTTGAATCGTCCAAACATTTACTGCAAAATTCATCATTTCATTAAAAGAAGCATAGATACGGGTAAAGGATAAAAACCTCCTCCTTTTGCGAAGTTGATTAAAATGATTCGAATCAGGACTGACGTCAACAGGGGAAGTCGAGTCAGAGTTCAATGAGTACAATGAAGGGTAAGTAGGGTCATAATCATAACTGCAAATTCAGCGAATTTATAAAATTCTAGGTAAGTACCGTACCCTAAGGATGATAGTGATTTGAAATTCTCGTAATTTCTGACTTTGCTACGGATTATCAAAAATGTTTTTGTTCCCTTTATCAAGTTCATTCTTGCTGAAAATGTTTATGTGTTACAAGCGGCCCGCCCTCGCTTCGCTTCGGTGTAGAGCTGAAGGTAGACTACAGTTTTTGTTCTCAGGCTTGTATTATACACAATGAAATTCATCTATGATTCTTCTTATACCTGCATGCAAAGTCTCAGCCCGATCGGTTTAAAATTGACAAAGTTTTATACAAACTTTCATTCCCTATTTTATCCCCTTGGGGGTAGAATTGATCAAAATCCTTTCTTAGCGGATGCCTACGTCATAACATCTACCTGCATGCCAAATTTCAGTCCGATCCGTCCAGTGGTTTGGGCTGTGCGTTGATAGATCACTATGTCAGTCAGTCACCTTAGAGCTTTATATATATAGATAATCTGAATACTTTAAGTGATATTTTATAAGAGCAATGTTAGTTCATAAAAACCTTGCCGTGGCACAGCTAAAAGTTTAAACACAAGAAAGGACAATGGCGAAATATTTGTTGAAGTAAATCTTTAGCGTCTATAGATGTCATTATCAGAAATATTAATAAAATAATCTCAAAAGATTTATTAAACAATTCAGGAGGGTTGTCTAAGTCTGGAATTAAAAACTTAATAAAAAAGGGAAACACAATTGACTATTTATTTTTTATTTTTATTGTGGCTTGGCATCATGGCTTTTGAGCCATTTATTTTAACTGATTTTAGTGATGAAATCAACTTTAAATAAGTTGTTCGTATTTTTTGCATCGCTTTACGCTTAAACTGTATTTAATTATCTATCAAAAATATCGGGAAACATTATTTTTCAATATTATACTGAAACCATAATAAATAATCTCCACAATACAAAAAGGGTATGGCGACAATTCTAACGCAAAAAACTATAACTGTCACTGTCATGCTTGTCATCGAATTGTTGTTGATATTGATAATTATTGATAACATTATCGTTACTTGTGCATGCGTATTGCAACGATTTAAATCGGCGCAGTGGTTTTTTTGTGATTTGTGTTTTTATGTGACTTGGACTGCATTTGGACTCTCGAAATCTTCCCTGCGACTGTTGAGTAGTGCTTGCCTAACACTTCCGAATCTGATATTTCGGACGACTTCTTGCTGTGGATTTTGGACACGATTCCGTCCCATACTGTGGATTTTATTTCATTGTATCTACTATCTACGATATTGTGATCAAAGATATGGAATAAAAGATATATAAAAAAGTGTTTCATATTTAATTAATATCCCATCAGTACACTATTAGAAATCCTTTTTATATTTTATTATTGTTGTGGTCATTTTCAAATTGTTAAGTACTTCTTAGAGCATAGACATTGTATTCGAACTAAATAACCCTGGTTTGTTTAGTATTATTGAGTATTTTGACGCGGTTGGTCAGTAAGTACCTATACGCCCACTGATCATACATTATAAAAACCATTTTTTTGGTCACTAATCTACGGGAACCGTATACTTTTATAGTTCGGTTCACGTATTTTTTATTTTGATATAAAAATGCTTTTGTAAATACTTTAATAATTCGTTTTTGTATTACTTGGTATGACATAACCTCCAAAACTTCAAAGTAGAATATCTATAAATCCAGACTTCCTATAATAATAGAAATAAGACGAATCAAATCGAGAATCTAAACTCTATAATTTAAGATTCAATTCATTTATAGACGCAAAAAAAAATTTCAACAAAAATTTGTATGGGAGTTCGCCATTGTCCTTTAGGAAAAAGCGTACCTATAAAATAATTCAACTCGGCCAGGTTAGAATCGAACTAAGAACATTCGAGTTCTAGGCGATTGCACTGACCACTATACTACCGATTCAATAAAATTAACGATTTTTTTTAGTTTTGCATTTCAGCGGCATTTCAATTTGGATGTAAAAATGTAGGAGTTCAATTAGTAAAACCAACAAAACGTATAAAGATTTCTGAAGTGACACGAAATATCCCAGTGACGAAACGCTGAACTAATGAGACACAACATAAAATATCCCAAGGATATACCCGTGCATAACGTCACTGCCTAGATATAACACTGTCGTAAACTTTATTAGGGGAAAAAGGACATGAACTTAATAATTTTATTTTATTGTATTGTTATTTCTAAGCATTAAACTGCTTTATTAATCTAAAGAAATTCATAAGACACTTTAAGTCATTACAGAAAATTATAGATACTGTGTCTATTATGAAGAAGCATTTCTGTTGAGATGAAGATTGTTTAGTTGAGTCTAACAAAACGAGAACTAAATAAAACTAGTTTTAACGGGTTAATGCAATAAAGATTCGTGCATTAACCCGTTAAAACTCTTTATTTATTAAAGTTTCGCTGCCTTTTCAGGTCTGCTTCGTCAGAATACAATATTCTGAACCTGAAAAGGCTGCAAAACGTCAATAAATAAATAAAGTTTCGTACATTAACCCGTTAAAACTAGTTTTATAAAACGAGAACTAAATAATAATTTCATAATCAATTTAATAACATTTACAAGATCCACCAAAAATATTTGATAAACGTAAATAAATTCATCCCTAGGGAAGGCCTGTGCCCTAGTAGTGGGGATATAGAAGGCTGATGATGATGATCATGACGATGATGATCATCATGCTGATGAAGAAAAATAAACGAGAGTCCAGAGACTAGATTTATCTATAGCTATGTGTCCCTCCTTGTCTCTTGATAAGGTCACAGAGGTTTTGCCTATTTTTAGGAATAATTTCTTTAGGTTGACAATACAACTAAGTATAAGTCTACTAGACCACACACAATAGAAAAACACCATCTTTTTCGAAGAAAGTAATGTACTTAAGTACCTGAAAATATGTAAGTAACTTATATCAACGCAGTTGCGGATGGGGGCTAGGTGAAAGAAAGTCAGAGATCTTTTTGTCAGTTGTTTCGTAGCGTATATGTATTTTTAGCTTCTTCGTTTCAACCAAGTGCTTCACGACACTTACGTTTGCTTTTTCATTCATGACATGATATACATCTAGTTTGAAGTGAGACAACATTTTAACCGACTACGACATAGTTATTTTCCCTGAAGATTTATAATAAGTATCATCTCATCATCATTATCATCAGCCTATTAATGTCCCCACTGCTGGAGTACAGGCCTTCCCTATGGATGGAATAGGGAGATTGGGCTATGACCAACCACGCGGGCCCAGTGAGGATTGGCGGGTGCTAACGACTGCAGATGCAGCCGAGTCCAGCAGCTTAACGCGCCTTCCGAAGCACGAAGGAACTCGAGATAGAAGATTTTTGAACTATTGAAGAAGTATGATCTATGCCTGAGAAAAAACCTATGCCAACCTAGTCTGTACCGAACCGAAGTGAGGCTGATTCTTTCTATTCTACTTATTTATAATTAACATTAGGTAAATAGATCCAAGATTACACTAACAGAACCAGTTCACTCAGTAATAATTTTAAATTTGCTAACTGGGTTGACCATAAATTTGCATATAAAAAAAGTAACGAAATCAATTCCTGTACCTCGCGACGGGAATCCCCCGCATACGTTATCTTCGCTTAAAGCACGCTCACATCTCAGACATACAAGGAAAACCGAAACATATTTCGTGCAAGTTACATGTTTAATGTTATATTCAATAATTTCGTTCTGTGTATCAATAATAATAATAAAATGTCGTTACAAAATTGTGTGTAAACAAAGATGTGTTTGAAAACTTCAGTGATAACCTTGAGTGAAGTGTTGTTCAAATGATTAAAGGTAAGTGTTAGTGTATACTTTCACAAATGTATAGTAGAGCAAAGTGATTTACTAAAGTTTTATAGAAGACATTAATATATACAAAAAAGTCCGCAATACCATATGTCTAACTATTACAGTAATCGATCTATATTTAACGCACATTAATATATACAGGAACAAAACTAAAAACCTTAAAAAATATAATATAATAACTAAAATTTATCTTCGGCACCTTGCCTCCTCCCCTTTAGGCAAGGTTCCGAAGATACTAGTAGCGTTCCCCCTTTGAATAGCTAGACTAATTCGTTGTCCGAGGTAGCTGCCAGCTCTTCGGTCTCCAGTGATGTCGACTAACCTTTTTGATATTTCCTTTTTTCCAAATGTATTGTTTATTAAATTAAAACTTTTGGGTTGAATATTAATATAAAATCTTAAGGCTAGAATAATCTGGTCCTAATTTCAATTGGGTTTATGATTATTGTCACATACAAGCATACAAGAAATCTTGAGGATCTTTTCTTTGTTATTTTGATGAATCTGACCTTACCTCAACGATGTATGCCCGTATTGATAAGAGCGGAAGCAAGATAAAGCATAAATAGTATGAGATGAAATATATTTATTACCATTTATTTTAAGACACTGACTAGTATATGCATAGTAATCTATGATTAAGACGATTATGCAAAAAGTGAATTGGGGAGAAAAATAGATAGAATTGTAGAAGAAAGAATTTTACACTTGCAAAAATTTGTAAATTAACCTAAAAATAGGTACTTAATTTAAAATCCGCCTAATTATCTGAAATTATCAGACTTTGAGAATTATTTATTTGTAGGTATAGTTCTATGTAAAAAATATATATAAGTATATAATTCTAGTTTAATTTATCTATTATATTTTATCAATAAATACCTATACATGTAAGAATTCTTTTTACGATGATAAAATCTGCTGATTCCATGTTTTTGACGGGATTCGAACCAGCATCTTCTCCATCCCAACTTTGAAACAGTTTGTTCGTGCTTGGGGTACCTTATTCGTATCGCCAATACCAGTATCTATGGAAACTCCTACCAAACGTAAGAACAAACAGTCTTCTTCCACAGATTCTGACGATGGCGATACGATATGTTGTTTTAAACTTTTATGGTCACCAACATTACATTATTTTGGACGACCTCCGTGGCCGAGTGATTTGTACGCCGGGTTTCATGGTGTCGCTGACTCGAGAGGTCCCGGGTTCGAATTCCGGTGGTGGAAGACGTTTGTGTGATGAATACGAGCATTTGAACTCCAGTTATGGATGTTTAATATGTATTTCCATATAAATATACTTATACATGTATTCTATCCGTTACCTTACTATCCCATAACACAAGCCTTACAGTGCTTACTTTGGGGCTAGGCTAATTGGTATTGGTGAGTGTTGGAAATATTTATTGATTTTAATATTTATTATTATTTATTTATTACAGTAATTTATGTTATTTACGGAATTGTTACCATGCACCTTCTTTTTAGCTAGTAACAGAGTTACTCCGTTGTCATGGCGCTTGCAACAGTGCCGGAATGTCGCCAAAAACGAGGTAACAATCCCGTAAATAACACAAATTACTGTGATGGCGACACGAATACGGATCCGTCAAAGGTCGTGGTATCGTTGCCAAACAACTCCTTAAGCTACACTACAGATGACCATTTAACACGAAAAAACCTTTTTTTACGATCCTGTTTTTTTTTCTTTTTTACCAATAATAAGATTTCAGTTTTACGTTATTTTATTATATTTATATCTTTATACGAAGCCAGGTACTTTTCTTTATCCAGTGGGCTGATTCTGTAAAATAAGATCTCACTTCCGGTTTCGGCAGCTGCCATTTTATTACACGGAACAATATCGCTATGTCTATAGAAGCAGCCTGTGTTAGATATTTGACATTTGTCAGAAATCCGAATAAATAAGATAGTAAGTGAGATTGCATCGTACAGAATATCTATGTCGACCTATTTACAACGTAGCAACAAACACAATTATTTTCTAATAAAACGACATATTTGGACAAAAGCTTTGCTTAAAGTCTAACTAGGTAGTTAAACAGCTGCAGTAGAACGAAAATGGGGCCTCAGCCTTATACAGTGACAGCAAATTTACATCACTCTATAGAAGAAACTAGACTCAATTGACATGTGAGGTCGTTCCAGTGTCTTGTTGAAAATTAATATCTAGGTATATTTTAGTCATTACAAACAGCATACTTCGAAAGCGTCTTTTTTCTCACACTCAACTAATAGGTCCATTACCTATGAAATTGCCGTTTTGCTCTTACGCTACGGCAAATCATGTTCATCTGGTCATCTTAATTTACACTTCATCATCATCATCATCAGCCTATTAATGTCCCCACTGCTGGGGCACAGGCCTTCCCTTTGGATGGAATAGGGAGATCGGGCCATGACCCACTACGCGGGCCCAGTGCGGATTAGTGGGTGCTAACAACTGCAGATGCAGCCGGCACCAACGGCTTAACGTGCCTTCCAAAGCACGGAGGAACTCAAGATTGCATTTTTGGTCACCCATCCAATGACCGACCACTGCGAAAGTTGCTTAACTTCAACGATCGCAGCCGAACGCGCTAACCACTTTCGCCATCGAGCTCCTCATTTACATCTTATAAATACTATACCCTATATTAGCATTTACCTCTCTTAGCAGCAAAGTAGGAAATAATGAAATAAGGGAAATCATCTAAACAAACTCATTGGTGGTAACTTACCCACTGTATGGGTATATTATATTACAAAAGATGAAGACACTTTCATTTATTTTTATTTATGTTAAATGATAACAAATTGCATTATCGACTTAATTTGTGTGTGAAATCTTTTTAAAAAGTAATATTTTTCCCATATTCATTATATTTATAATTTTATAAAGTCGTAATTATTTTTCATGATTATTTATATAGAAATATTCAAATGACATAAACTTAAAACTACTTGATGTTACAATTTGAAAGATTTTAAGCTTCATGTTAAAAAAATGTCACGATTCAGGAATATCTGGGTTAAAAGACTGGAGAGCAAGCCTGCAACCAAATACCAATAACAAAAAGAAACACAAGATTAATTTAAAGTTATTATTAAATTTTGTGTTATTTTCGTCCTCACCCATGCAAAAACTGGCCATTTGTATGGTTGGTTTACCTCCGCAAAATGACTCTATTTAGCTCCTCTACGCTATGAAGATTCTCGTTGGATCAATAAAAACTAATTATACAATACAATTCCGCTAATAAACTGACAAGTACGTCATGGATAAACTAGAATATTGTTCACGCCTTTTATTATATTGTATGTTTATGTCACACAAATATGGAGTTTGTTTACTCACTATTCATTTTTATTTTAATACCTAATAGTCCAGTCTATTTGTTATTCATATCATTAGATCAATCCATAAAGACTACTGCATTTATTATACTTAAACCTAGATTCACTGAATTTTCATGTTATGTTAGTTAATTTTTATTTATTTAATTTTAATTCTAAAGTACTGTGTTTTAAACTTTCATGGTCACTAACATTATACTAATATAAGTTATTTAAGGGATTGTTACCATGTACCTTGTTAATCACGGAGCAACTGTTACTCCGTGATCATGACGCTTGCAACAGTGCCGAAATATCGGAAACTCGCTAAAAACAAAGGTACATGGTAGCAATCCCGTCAATAACTTAAATTACTGTAACTTCTTATTTATTTTTTAAAATTCAACTTTCTCAGATATCCGGTAGAATTCGAAACCTACATAGCTAAACACTTTGTATTTTCATTTTATAGTTTAAGTTTTTAAAATTATATTTAATATATTTCATTATCAAACTAATTATCATTTTTTTTTTATAAATTCAACTTTGTCAGATATCGCTCAGGATTCGAGCAACTCTCGCTGTCCGGTCGAATGAGACTCTCAAAGATTCGTAATATTGTTTCTAGTTGTATGTCTGTCAATGTTGTTTGGTAAATAAAATTTACAATTCATGTGCAGAAAGAAATAACTGCATGCGGTTTAAACGAAACGCATGTAAACAATAATAGTGTGGGTACCGAAAATAGACTTTGTCCTTCATCCCAATGAACTAAACTAAAATAGCTTTTCGCGGTGATACACGACACATTCTGCGATCGTAATACGTCCTCATTACATACAATCATGATACAATGTAACGTATAAAATATACTGAAAAAAACTTATTTAATTTAATTTCTGTCTGGAGACAGTGAAAATATAGAAAAAAATTGCTTTCTTATTGATTATTTATTAAATTAAACTTACCATAAACAATCCATTGAAGACAACCAAAAGGTATTTTATACAGCTCATGCCGCACCCCTCCATATTGAATTTACCACAGGTAGCACAGATCACAAAAACTTTTTAAGAATAAACTTTTCCCGCGCTTGTTGTCGAAGAGCGTCGCAAGGGAGAATTCTTTTTTTAAACACGTTCGCGCGTTCCGGCGTTACGTTCCGTTATGGGCTACAACACATACAGCCAACTCAATGGCGAATGCGGCTGCGGCGGGGCTGTTACGGACTTTAGTAGTGGTACACCTCATTGGTGTGAAATAGCGTGTGAGGGTTGAAGTCACGCATAGAACCACCCCCTCCAAAATTACTGCGACTCCAGAATTATATGTCGTAAAACACCGATAGAGATCACAATTAATTGGTCAGCTTGTCAAGCGATCGGTTATTAGTATTTCTGGTTCAACTACTCGGCTGGTTTTCAGTGATACAACAGCCTTTTCCATTTTTGAGTGATTAGAGCTTTCTAAGTAGGTACCTACTTATTTTGACATTGTAATTGTTTTAATTTTGTTGTAAATATCGGTATGTACGTATATACGCCTGAGCTTTGCCGGAGCTTTGAAAATTTAAGTGATGGTATATTTGTTATAAGTTTTATTTCACTTTATATAATTTTCGCTAAACAAAGAATCAGAAATACTTAGCTATGTAGTATATATTCTCAGTTTTGGTAACAATTCATACCTACTTTTCTCAAAGATAAAGACATAGTCTAGGGATTTAACATGTGAAGAAATGAAGATACCCTTCACCATTTTAGCGCCTACGTACTTGAATAAGCAAATTGTTGTTTTGAATGAATTGAACTTTTAGAGCTACCGAGAAGTTCTATTCATTTTGACACATTAATTTTGTGCAGTTAACTTGCGAGGAGCTCGATGGCGCAAGTGGTTAGAGCGTTCGGCTGCGATCGTTGAAGTTAAGCAACTTTCGCAGTGGTCTGTCATTGGATGGGTGACCAAAAATTTACTATCTCGAGCTCTTCCGTGCTTCGGAAGGCACGTTAGGCCGTTGGTTTCACCTGCATCTGCAGTTGTTTGCACCCACCACGCCTGGGCTGCGTGGTGGGTCATGGCCCAAACTCCCTATTCCATCATAGGGAAGGCCTGTGCCTCAGCAGTGGGGACATAAATAGGCTGATGATGAATTTGGTGGTACCTACATATTAAATAATATTAGAAATATTACTTAACACACCTACCTACTACCCTATGATGTTTTATAGTTATGGATACGTCATGCACGCTTCAATTTACAATACGAAAGTCAGGTAATTGCACGATTTGCATTCAGTCGGGCACGCTCTCTCGCCGCGCACACTTTGCTAACACGTGTAAATATTTTACGTTTTTACAGACAAAAAGCCCTATGTGTGTTTTAAGATAGTACACAAATTACACGGAAACTATTAGAGACAAGAAAAAAGTGTCATTTCATTCGTAAGTATAGTTTCAAAGAACTAATATAAAAATATTTAGCAACTGGTCCTCCCTCGCTTCGCTTCAGATTAGAGCTGTAGTGTAGACTAAAATGACTCTTCATATAATTATAAAAGAAAAACTGAAAATGGTATATTTGCCTTTTCCAAACTTCTATTGACATGACATGACGTCACTCAATTGTTTTACCTACCCGGAACCTCTCCACTTCCTTTTGAAATTTATGGTATGGTATTAAAGTTCAAATTGGCTTTTAAGTATTACCTATTACGAATCGTTTGTATGGGAGTATAGAAAAGTTTTTCAGGCAATTATTTTAATTTATTTCTGCGTAAGAACCATCCTAGTACTTCAAGGAATATTCTAAAAAAAGAATTATTGAAATCAGTTCAGCTGTTCTCGAGGTTTGCGTTTAGCAACACATTCAGCGATTCATTTTTATATTATATACTAGCGGCCGCCCGCGACTTCGTACGCGTGGAGTTAGTTATTTGCACATACTCCCCCAAAAGGGGGTTTACTTCTAAAGATATATTATTCATACAAACTTCCAACCCCCGTATTACCGGACTTCTTAATAATATTCGTGCCAAATTTGAAGTAAATCCATGCAGTACTTTTTGAGTTTATCCCGGACATAGATACAGACAAACAGACAAAAATTCTAAAAACTATATTTTTGGCTTCGGTATCGATTGTAGATCACACCCCAAAAATTCTTTTAAAAAAATATTCTATGTACAGTTTTGACTTTCCTACCATTTTATTATATGTATAGATTACTTATTTTGACAGTTGCTGACACCGCTGACAGGTGGAGGCTAAAGAGAGAGATGTAATCTGCTTTATGCATGAGGTTGAAATGGGCTACTTTAGTGCGCTCTATTGGCGTCTGTTGCCTAGGGAAGTTGGGGCGAGGAGCACTTGTGCCATTTTAAAATGCAATAATGTTGGCATATTATAACCGTATATTTTTATGTCATTGCTGCTACCGAACATATTGAAAAGTTGTGATTGCGACAGAGTATCGTAACGCCCATTGTGGGTTGACGACATTGCTTTAGCTTTTAGAAAAGAACCATAATAATACAATGGATATGCCTTATAAAGAATGATTAATGATAACCAACATGTAAGGTACCTATCAGTGAAGAAAATATCACAGAAAATAATTTGAAAGTTCGATGCAAAGTAGCTGGTATGTGAAAAAACACCTTATGACTTTCAAAAGATGAAGAGAAAATTGTAGTTGTATTGTAATTGTAGAAATTGTAGGTCCAAATTATTTTCTGCAAGAAAATACTGTTAAAATATTGTTTTTCTCCCGTGATGGACTGGGATGAATGATTTATGAATGTATGAATTATTTAATCACTAAAAATAGAGTACAAAAATCTCTTAAATATAACACAGTTCATCTATTTTGTCTCCATGTGGCATGTGATTATCCATTTCTTTAATTTTGATGATTTTCTGCACGAACTGGACCGCCTGTCTGGGGAAGTGAATAGCTCCAGCAACCTTATACAAGACCACAGTGAAATCATATTAACATTTGGTGTTATTTTTTCAGTTTGTGTTTATTAGGTTTTCATGGCTCCACGGGATAGGAGACGATATTTTTAGGGAAGATTTTTTTATAACAAAAAAGCCTTATTACTCTTGTTTGTCACAAGCAAACAAGCGTAAGGCCGCCTCATGGTAAGCGGCCAGCGGCTAGCCTATAGATAGTGATGCAAAAAAAACGAGTGTCCTTACGACACACGACTGAAGAGAAACTTCTTTAGCTCCATCTGTGTGTGTATATATACACGGTGTTTCAAAAATACCCCTAAAGCGAAAAGGGCGTTAGAAGGTCCCACGCATAGAGCTCATTGCATTTCATTTTCATCCCACCACCTCGGAAAGTGTAATTTTGCGCTTCGAAATCTGGCTGGAAAATTCTATTTTATTCGCTTGAGCGGCAAAGTAGATTTGAATTTAGAACATCACATATAATGAGTACTCAATATAATTGTAAATTCAAAACGTCATTAAACCTATTTAATGTAACCTCTATGGTGCCAAATTTATGATTAGAACTTTTTAAATTGTGAAAAAATTTAAATTTGGAACCTTCTTGGTTTCTTTGTTTTATTTGCGTGCTTCGCGCCATTCTAGTTTTTCACGTTTTATTGCTTAATATAATTAACATAACCTAAAAACTGTACAAAAAAATCAACTAAAATGAGTGACATTAGCGACGATGAAGTTTATCTAACGCCAACTGAGTTAACTGAAACAGTTAATAATGCGCAAATGAGCCTTCTCCCTCAGCAATCACGAGAGAAGTATTTGAAACAGTACGATATATTTAACATGTGGCGACTAGCTAAAGGAGCAAAAACTTTCTCCGAAAACGTTTTGCTGGCATATTTTATAGAATTATCTGAGACCAAGAAAGCAAGCACGCTATGGAGTACGTATTCAATGCTAAAATTAACAATTAAGATGAAGAAAGACGTTCATATCGACACCTATCATAAATTAGTGGCATTTTTAAAAAGAGCCTCATCTGGTTATAAACCAAAAAAATCGAAGGTTTTCACAGCATCTGAAATTGCAAAGTTTATTAATGAAGCACCTGATTCCGTATATTTAGCGGCAAAAGTAAGTCAATACGTGTAATTTTTTGTTGTTGATAAAATTGTACATAGTACTTACAATATTTTTAATTTGATTAATTTATTTACGATTATAAATACTTCTTTTGTTACAGGTTGTTCTTATTATTGGTATAACCGGAGCATGTCGAACAAATGAACTTACACTACTTAATGTCAATAACGTATCAAAATATTCTCATAATTCTGATGAATTGCTATTAATTAATGTACTAAATACCAAGACAAAAAAAGACCGCAACTTCGTTATTCGCAAGGAATATGTAAACATTGTTCAGAAATATCAAGCTTTACGTCCTTCTAACACCCCAATTGAACGATTTTTTCTACAATATCGCAACGGAAAGTGTATCCGACAACCTATGGGTCAGAATAAAATTGGCAGTATTCCACGAGAAATAGCAACTTTTCTCGGACTTTTAGAACCCCCGTTATACACCGGTCACTGTTTTAGAAGAACCTCAGCCACACTTTTGGCCGAATCAGGGGCTGATCTTCTATCGCTTAAGCGCCATGGAGGCTGGAAGTCTAATTCGGTTGTAGAGGGATACATAGAGGATTCAATCCAAAGTAAATCAAAAATTTGTAATAGTATCGTGGAGGCCATAACGCTGAAAGAACCTCTGTCAGATTCTTGGTCTCGCCCTTCTACATCTAAAATGAGCCCCCATAAGATTGGAAACAATAGCCCTCTCTCGCCAACATTTACGCCAATAGAATCCAATGAATCGGCACAACTATTTAAAATTACTGATACGAGTAGTTTACCACAAAACAGCGCACAATTCACAAACACCAACATAACATTACCTAACAAAAATATTAAACTTAACATAAGTAACTGTAGCAACGTTACATTTAATATTTCTTAATTATTTTCTACTTCTTATTATTTTCTTCAATTTATAGATTATCTTAATGTGTTTTAATTGAAATAAAAATATTTTGTCATTATAAATTGTTTTCTTTTTCATTTTGTCATTTCCTCGCTGAGGTGGGATGAA